ACATTTTGTTTGTAATGATCAACCCAGTGGTTACTTTTCTGAAAGTTTCATTAAAATTTGTTCTGGAGTTAAGATTTTTGCTCAAACAAATTAACAGATTTTTATTTTTTATTTGTTTTATGTAAAAAAAGGAAAAAAAAAGAAAAAAGATTCCTGTGAGGAAGGAGATTTTTCATGCAATTCTTGAGTCAGAAGTGAAATCTAATTCATAGAAATAACATTTTTATAGCTTGTTATTCTATCAGCTAATTATTAACAATGACACAATAAAGAACTGATGGCCTGAGCGTGACAATATACTTGCAACGTCCGTAATGATGCTCCTGTAATATTCGCTAATTACTGCAAATTGTTTTGTGGAATTGTGAAAAAAAAAAATCACAATCAACTTTTTTTTCCCCTCTCGAAATGCTTCTCAGTTTAACTTTTACATGACATTTTAATTACTCCAGTAATTAGCCCACAGTTTGCAAAACTGACCTTCACCAAGCAAGAGTTGGTCACCACCTGTTTGGGGTCCACCACGTCCACCAGGGGCTCCTTCATAGCCACATTACGAATACACGTCATGTCAAAACCGTACACGTTCTCCCACCCTGGGAAATAAAGCATRGTAGAGTCAAGTTGTCATATTTTCATGTTGGTTTTTGCTTCTTGTTTCAGGGAAGGGTTATGAACAGCTGGAAAATAGACGGATTTATCCCAAAATGGTCTGACCTATGACCTCAGAGTTTTTATTATGATAGATGAAAAGTGAAAGCTTTGTAAATGTGTCTCCCTGAAGTCAAAATTTCGCCTCACATACTGTATATGTATAAGCCCAACCATCTCATACATTATTCATTCTTGCACATTATCATTCATAAAGATAATATGCAACAAACATCTCTACCATGACCTGAAAGGGGGTGAACAACTTGAGRACTTAGAAGAACTGGTAATGATGAACAGGTCACAGACCCCCAGAGGCCGTTGTGATGTAGTGCATTTACATTTCCTTCTGCCCACTTATCTAAAAGTGAGTGCAGTRGAGAGTAGCAGCAACTATCGCTGGATGCTCTCAGAATACTGAGATCCTTCAGAGGGCCWCTTCTAAGTCAACTTAAAGGCCTTCTCTGGCCTCCTGCCAGGGGGGAAAAACAACTTTGTAGTCGATATGTGCACATCACAGTCAACACTGGTGCTCATCACAATACAAAGCAAGTGCAGACGAAAATGTCCTCCTCGGACTAACAGTAACATATTTTGTGACTGTTTTGCATTTTATATAAGGCACCTTTGTCATATAAGTGTCTGTGATGTGCATGTATATATATATATATATATAGTAAAAGTGTCATAATTAACATGGTTTGACAGGAACAGGAATTGACATCAAAGGGGAACCCTTCAAGAAAATGAACTCTCTGGTCTTTGTTTATTGAAACAATATAATTTGAACTCTTGACTCTTTTTCATCTCTCTGGTAGAGACTCAAAATAATCTACAAAACTTTACTCTACAGCCGTAGCACTGCTCTGTTATCATGCAGATATTCCCCTTTTACATCACTTCCTGTTGCTTCACATTCAAATATCTCGACAACTGTTTGTCTCAGTGGCATGGAATTATTTTTGCGATATGTTGTTATTGCTTTCTTTCTAAAAATGAATTCATATTTTTTACAAAAATTTCACACCACGGGCACTTTAAGCAAGRGACCCACAGTGTCTTTGTGCTTGCTGTTGTCTGGATTGTGTGCTGGTTAAACAATATTTCAGCAGACCTGCTCCTGTGCTTTGTGTCCACAAGACAAGCATCGCCCACAGTCCTCCTAGAAGCTTTAGAGTGGGATGAGTGAAAGAAAGAGGCTTGTTGTTGATCTATGAAGTCAATTATCACCCCKCAACCCTGTTCCTGGAGAATTGTTCAAGATTATTATCTGTGCTGAAAGATTTGTGCGATATGATATAAAGGTGTGGACACTTTTCAACAACCATCCATTCGTRACCCTTTTCTTATTAAAGCCCCCCAGGAGCCCCGCGGAGCACAATAAGCGCAACTCGAGTGAGTGGAAGGAGAGGTACACACAAGCACTAGAGATGACTCACAGTGTATTTTGAAGTCTTTGTACTGCCTGTCCTCTATGGCCACAACGTACAAGGAGGCTCTGTCAGGAAACAATAACCCACCTGGTTTCTGTTTGGAGAAATMAATTCAAACAATTAAAACGCTGAARACTTTWAAAGTCATTTTTATTAAGAATATGTTTAATTAGGTTAAGATTTTAAATTATATTCTGGATATCYTCTTTAAAGTTGCAGTTTGTCAAAACTTATTGTATTATAGAAATGTAACAAAGGATTTGCCCAAATATTCTTACAGTGTTTTCTTGTGATCATTACCAAAGTAGGTTTTGAAACCATGAATCTGGTTATTTAGTAATTCCTGATGTATCAAAACAAAATCTGCAGTGACACACACACACACACACACACACAATCAATCCACACGTCATACCAGCCACTTGTCCCTGGCAAAGATGACGGTGTTGAGCATGGATTCATAGAAAAGGCAGTAGCCCATCCATTCAGATATGATGATGTCAACATTCTCCACTGGAAGCTCCACCTCCTCCACCTTTCCTTTGAAAATGGTGATAACTGAAACAGACAACAAATCTTTTCAACTGAGACATCATTACACTCCTGCAGGTCATGCTGAAACGATGACAGTTTCACAAATACAGCGGGTAAAATAAGTATTGAACACGTCAACATTTTTCTCAGTAAATATATGGTGGTAATGAAATGAAATTTTCACCAGATGTRGGTAACAACCCAAGTGATCCATACATYCAAAGAAATCAAACCATAAATGTCCAGAAAGGAAGTTGTTTGTAATAATGTGGAATGGCACAGGGAAAAAGTATTGAACACATGAAGAACGGGAGGTGTAAAAAGGCATGGAAAGCCAAGACACCAGCTGAACTCTCTCAGTAATTAGAAAGCAAGCCTGCCTCTTGTCAGTGCAAGTTAATATCAGCTGGTTCAGTCCCAAATGATGGCCAGGTATCACACAAGAACCATCTGATGATGGGTAAAAGTAAAGAGCTCTCTCAAGACCTTCACAACCTTATTGTTGCAAAGCATAATGATGGCATCGGTTACAGAAGAATGTCTAAACTTCTGAAGGTTCCAGTGAGCACTGTTGGGGCCATAATTCAGAAGTGGAAAGAACATTATTTCACCATAAACCGACCACGACCAGGTGCTCCTCACAAGATTTCTGACAGAGGAGTGAAAAGAATTATCAGAAGAGTTGTCCAAGAGCCAAGGACCACTTGTGGAGAGCTTCAGAAAGACCTGGAATTAGCAGGTACAATTGTTTCAAAGAAAACAATAAGTAATGCACTGAACCACTATGGCCTGTATGCACGCTCACCACGCAAGACTCCACTGCTGAAGAAACAGCATGTTGAAGCTCCTTTAAAGTTTGCTGCACAACATTTAAACAAGCCTGTGTAATACTGGGAGAATATAGTCTGGTCAGATGAGACCAACATTGAACTGTTTGGATGCCAGAATACACATCATGTTTGGAGGTCAAATGGCACTGCACATCAGCCCAAAAACACCATACCAACAGTGAAGTTTGGAGGTGGGAACATCATGGTGTGGGGCTGTTTTTCAGCATATGGTACTGGCAAACTTCAAATAATTGAAGGAAGGATGAGTGGAAAAATGTACAGAGACATTCTTGATAAAAATCTGCTTCCATCTACCAGGATGATGAAGATGAAACGTGGCTGGACATTTCAGCAAGACAATGAGCCCAAACACAAAGTCAAGGAAACTCTCAGTTGGTTTCAGAGAAAGAAACTAAAGCTGCTGGAATGGCCCAGCCAATCACCTGACCTGAATCCAACAGAAAATCTATGGAAAGAACTAAAGATCAGAGTTCATAGAAGAGGTCCACGAAACCTTCAAGATTTGAAGACTGTTTGTGGAAGAATGGGCCAAAATCACACCTGAGCAATGCATYCCACTAGTTTCTCCATACTGGAGGCGTCTTGAAGCTGTCATTGACAACAAAGGCTTTTGTACAAAGTATTAGATAAATTTCAGTAAGTGTGTTCAATACTTTTTCCCTGTGCCATTCCACATTATTACAAATAACTTCATTTCTGGACATTTATGGTTTGATTTCTTTGTATGGATCACTTGGGTTGTTACCGACATCTGGTGAAAATTTCATGTCATTAGCACCTCTAGTAATATATTTACTGAGAAAAATGGTGACGTGTTCAATACTTACTTTACCCGCTGTACAAGTCCAAAATAACAAAAATACATGCAAAGTGTGATAATGAATTTAAAGCTTCAAGAGAATATTTCCATCATCTATTATTCTGTTGGAATGTCTGCTCAATGCTGCCTTCTGGTACTGTGTGTGCTGAATAGTAATTTCTAGGAAAAAATATAAAAGAACAAAATAAAAACCTCAGCTCTGTGTTATTCTGGTTTGGCCCAGCTGCGGGGGACAATAGYAATGTGAACATTTGCCATGCAGAGATCAGCTGAATTCTGCTTTTGTTTGCTTTACAGGAAGAATGATTCAAATTTCCCTGGTGGTACAAATGTCCGTCAGAATGACACAAATCTTTTTTTTTTTTTTCTGAGAGCTGATTGCTTCCGACTTACTGTTCACAACTCACAGCAAACAGCGGCGATACTTTCCCAAACGACTCAAACATATTTGGTATTCATGGGATTATGGATTATACATTTGCTGACAGAATGATGTATGGTGTTATTATTTGCAAGGTGCAAAGCTTGTTTTTAATTGCAAGGCTGCTGTGATTAAACCATAGGCTTTGAAGCTGCAGAAGTTGGAAGGATGCCTCGGAAAGAGAGGAGCAAATGTGCGGCAGCATCACATAAAGGAGATGGAGGTATGTATTTGTGCAAATGATGTACATTTACTGTTTTCTTTTCCAGCCTTTCAGCTTATTTCTCTTGTATTTTCACCAACTATCAACACCATATCTTGATAGCTCTTTTGAATATTTATGAAGTTCAAAGTCACCAAAGTAAAGAAGTGAAGTGAATCAGCTGCAGCTCTTACCACTGTCGAGGTGGTTGGACTTGATGATCCTCTCTGAGTACTCTGATATACTGGAACACTCAATCTGGCAGAAATAATTAAAAGAGTTCATTAAATATGGAATGTATTTGATGCAAAGTCGACTAAACTTACAAAATGTGGCCTCACTCTAATAATTCAGGACAGTTTGAATGTTGATGATTAAGTCGAGTTGACAGGCATGCCTCAAATTCAGTTTTTACTACTTGTGGGGATTTTTGATAATAATGCCAATTCAGCAACTTTGTGATTAGACACAGCAAAATGGCTTTTGATAAACTACCATGCTTCATTTTATCCAATGAATATAACAACAGGATATCCAACTTCGAGTTTGACACTTTACAAATGTCAAACTTGTTTTAAAGAAAAAAAAAAAACGAAAAACACGTTTACTGCCTTTCATCAAAACCTGTGAGCTTTTACCACTCCAAGCAGGTGCATGACTTGTGCGCCTGACAGCAGCAGGAAACCAGCAAAGGGTGGATTATCAGTTGACATCACGCACGCAGGTGAAATTAACTTTGCAGGAGATGCCCTGGAGTCAAGCAGGAAATAGAAGAAAGAGACTATAAAGGGAAATAATTTACAAGGGAGCATGCCTCTGTTCGAGTCACTGAAGTGCTGCCAGGGCTTTTTCATTAAAACTAATTAAGCTTAAGATTAGTCAGTTCTCGACTCCGACTAGCCACTGAGCCCACTGGAATTTTAAAAACCTTGTGAGTTTGCTCTTTTTTTCTATTTTTAAAATATTCTTATCATATTCGCTGGTTACTTATCCAGTTTTTCTCTCTGAAATGCCTCATGGACTTCACTTTTGTTGAGTCCTGAGAAAAAATTAGACTTGATGCTCTGCCMACAGAAAGCTAGGATACCTAAATACCAAGCAATGGATACTGTTCTGTTTTAAGCTGGTTTCAAACATTCCAAGGACACAATTTAGCAAACTTAATAAAATAAAATAAAATAAAGGGTGTACTTAGGTTCTTATAACGCTGGAGAGTCGCACAATTGAGTATTTGTGCTCAGTTCCACTTATCATAGRGCTCTTTGAATTATGAGGACTTGAAAATGCTGCAGAAGATCCACCTCTTCATAATAAACCATTTGAGTGAACCTTAGGAGTCCTGAATCAGAACATTTTAAAGCTGGGTTRGGACATTTTGTGAAGSAAGCAGGCTTAAAAGCAAAAGCCTTCAGCTGCACCGTGCACGGTCATGGAAGCACGGAGTCTGCTGCCGCTTTAGTTTTATAGGTCAGATATTGATTTGGCATGCTTCGTGTGCTTATATTTTTAAAGGGGCAATATCATGTAAAATCAACTTTTTTGAGTTTTGTATCATGTTATAATGTTATACTCTCTTAAAAAACGCCCAAAGCCTTGCTTTGACTCATTCATGCATGTTTGAGAAATCCTGCAGCGCTTTTAGGAAGCCATGCTGAGGAGCAAAACGACAGGTGGGGACCAGAAACG